AGGCCTGGGGGTTCCCCGCCCCCCCGCCAGGTCCCTCTGCGGGTCGCCACCACCCGCAGCATCTCCGGCGGAGCTCGGCGTCCCAGGGAGCGTTCCGTAAGTGCTGCGGCCGCCGCTCCGGTGCGGGAATGGAGGAATCGGCGTGGCGGAGGCGGGATGGGCTCGGGGCCGGGAGGACCGGGGCGCCCGGCTGCGGACGGTGCCCACCCCTTTCATCCCGGTTTCCTTCTCTCGCCCCTTGGACCCTGAGGCAGCCCTGGACAGTGACGAGCAGGGCTTTTCTCTCCTTTGGACACAGGAGCAAAAGAGCCCCAGAGTCAGAGTCAAGGGTCTGGCCCAAGGTCACTCCTGGGGTCAATGGCAGAGCCCAGAAGGAACCTGGGACTCCTGACCTGCCCCGCCTCGCAGGAGGGAGAGGGCAGCGAGCGAGAAGAGCCTCTCCCACCCCACGTCAGTCTGCCAGCCTTGCCCCTTCCTGGGGGGCCATCACGGGGGGGAGGGGGTGCGCGGACCTCACACACACCCATGCACCTGCACTGGGAGGCACCCCACATGCGCCCGTGAGCAAGCACAGGGACGTATGGGTGCAGCTGTGCATCCCTCCTCTCCCTAGGCGGCCCTGCAGCTTGGCTGGGACCCCTTCCTACCCTGCCTTACCGGGAGCCCTCTGGCCTGGGAAGGCCTATGCCACACCCTGGGCCGGGCACTTCTCCCACCCTCTGGTCCCAAGGGAGGAGGGAAGGGGCGGAGTGAAAGCTCCATCCCTGCCTTGGAAGATATGCCCCCTTCCTTTTCATCTTGTCCCTGGCAGAGACTAGCTCCCCTGTAGGGGGGTCCAGTGACCCCAAGAGCTTGCCAGAGGACCTGACTTTAGCCTCTCTCCTTCCTGTCTTCGGGTCTCCCCATACCTGTCCCGTCCCCCACTCCAAGCACAGCCGGGACCACACAGTGGGCTGGGTCCAGAGGCCTCTGTGACTCCCTTTTCCCATTTATCGCGTGCTTACCATGGATGGGGTTGTGCTGAGCTCAGTGTTTTCTAGGGACTGGTTCATGCTGGCATTTCAGTGACCCTCTGACCCTGGGCGGGAGGTGCTCTTAATATCCCCACTTTAGTTCAGAAAAACAGATGCAGAGGTGGAGTGACTTGCCTGCGATCATCAGATCAGTCAAGTAGCTGAGCTGGAATTCAAAGGCGGGCCTGTCTGACTCTTGGGCAAGTGTTTCCCTCCAGAAACAGAAAAAACTGCAGTATTTTTTTCTCCAAGCAGGAGATGAGGGATGTAGGGGCAGGGCGAGACAAGGTGGGGAGTGCAGGGAGGAAGGGGTGGGGGTAGGGTATTTTTCAGGGGAGACACGTTTCCTTTCAAACCTCCCCACTACCCTCCATGTCTTCCACGAAGAGCAGGCAGGCCTTCATTTTCACGGTCCTAAATCCACATGGGAACTGTGGATATATAAAGCACATGTCATGATGTCCCCTGAACTCGCCCCTGTCCTCCAACCTGTATTTCCCTGGGGCCTTCAGAACTTAGGGGGCTTCATCTCACCACCAAGTCCCACCCTCAGCCTCATATTTTTTACTCCTTCCTATCCAGCATCCAGGGAAGCAGGGAGCTCCCTTTATCCAAGAAGGTGGCTACCTGCATGTGTAGCAGGCCACAGGCTGGGACACTCCTGATGTCAGAAGTGAGTGGGCAGATTGACTGACCATAGGCAGCCTCTTGGCATCAGCATGAATTCCAGGATCCTGTCTGCTCGGGGCTGGCTCAGCACCCACCCATCCACCTCTGAGCCCAACCTCGAGACTGCCACAGATGGGCCAGCCTCGGAGACCACCACCCTCAGCCCAGAAGCCACCAGCTTTAATGACACCAGAATACCTGGCGTGGGCAGCGGTGCAGCCGGCGTGGGCACAATGCTTCTGTCCTTTGGAATCATCACGGTGATTGGCCTGGCTGTGGCCATGGTGAGAGCCGGGGCTGGCTGGGGCTGCCCCAGATGACCTTCAGTTGGAGGAGGGTGGTCAGTGTTTAGATTTTAGAGAATCTAACCAAAGACCATTGTTTGTTAGTAATAATACAATCCTCCCATTTCCCCAGGGATTTGTCCACTGGGGCCCAGAGACCAGAGAAGCTGCCTTTAATTGGAAGAACCAAAGAAGGTTCTGAGAAATATGTGATGTTTTGAGCAGGGCCATGAAAGGCACGTAGGAATTGAGGGTGTTTTCCAGGTGGAGGTTCTGGTGGGCAAAAGTTTGGAGGCAGGCAGAAGGTCCTGTGAGCAGCAAGCAGAGCAGTGAGGCAGACGAGTGTGGGGGTACAAGAGTAGTAGAGGCCAGAGGTGCCTGGGATAGATCACGGGCTGTGGCATCTGGGTGGGATGCTCTGCAAACAGCAGGCCACTGGCAGTGTTCATTCATTCAACCATTCACTTGGCAGTTATTTGCTGGGCACCTGTCCTAGAGCAAGCCGTCAGGACCCCATGGACTAGGGAGACAAGGGCCCTGTGGTTCTTACAGGGAGTGGAAGACAAAACCAAGGTGCCAAGGGAAGCCCACAGGGACTGTGTTGGGGAATTGGATGGGGGGGTCCTTTCCAGGCTGGGTGGTCAGGGACAACTGAGGAGGCGACATTAGACCTGAGACCTCAAGGTGGAGGCCTGGCCCCTGTGTCACAAGAAAGGCAGAGTTGGGCAGACGGAAGTGTGCTGGGGTAAGGACAGCAGGTGTCCCCTGCTGGTGAATAGGGTGTTTGCAGAGCTGGTGTCTGCACCTGAAGACATGGGCTTTTCCCCTGGGATGATACATGGACACTCTAAATGTCACTGGAGATTGTGGAGACCAGGAAGGGTGGGGGTGCACCTGATGTCCCCCAGCGGGCCTGGCAACAGTAGCATTCTGCCCACTGCCCCTCGCGGGCTCTAACGGCTAGCCTTAGCTCAGGAACATGATGCTCTGACAAACAGGCCAGTAGATGGTCCATCCATGGCCTAGTTGGAGCTGCTGTTAAACCAGAGTTGCCATATGGGCCCCACGGGCTCTGGATCTCTGCCAGAGAATGACTGCTGGCCGGCAAGCAGGGCCAGGATGCAACACACAGAGAGGCCGGGGCCTGAGCAGCCTCCCAGGGCAGGGTGAGGCAGAGCGCCAGTGTTTCCCCTTGGCACCCAGGCAGCAGTTAAACAGACTGAGACGCCCTAACCTCAGCAGCCAAGCAGGACCTAGAATCTGCCCTTGTAATTTTCCAGGAAAGATTTTATCCTGGGGACTTGGGAGAACTCCCTCATTCTTGGTCCTGGAGGAACATTCGGAGGGCCAGGGTGGCTGGCCTTCTTTCCAGAAGCTGAGACGTAGAAAGGTTATTGGGCAAAAGCCCTAGAGGGCAGGAAACAGCTCCTGGGCACCAGGAGACAGGCCCAGAGATGTTCCCTGAGAGCTGCTTCCTCTCCCCTCGTGCCAGCCCCAGCCGGGCCATGCTGGGTACAGGGAGCAAGTCAGGGCCAGGCTGTGTCTCATAGGAGAAGCGGTGCGGAGGGCTTCCTGGAGGAGGTGGGCTGCTGCTGGACAGTGAGGGTGGGGGGGAGATTTGTAAAGGAA